ATGGCTGTCGCTGTGCAGAGCATTGGCTTCCAGTCCTTCCTTCGCGGCTGAGGGTTACCTGATCGGTACCGCACCAGGGTTATGGCTGTTGCATCCTCGTCTCTCACCCCGTACTGGACCAGTTGGCTCCTGCAGCGGCTTGTCCGTTCGGGCTTAAATGCTACATTCGGCCGCCATACATAGCGTCTTTCGCGACGGAAGGCAACTCTAGCGTTTAAACAAACACATGTCATATATATATATATATATATATATATATATATATATCATGGGAACACAGCCGTCACGGAAGCCGGAGAAGCCCCGGAGGAGAGAAAAAAGCCGTTCCGCTTTCTCTGAGGTTTAGCGTTTACCGTGGGCCGGGAACAGTTGGGCTAAGGATGAATCCAGTGGGAGGGACCAATATGCATGCCTCAAATTTTGTTCCCAGTAAGCTTTTTGGGCAAAATGCACGTTTTGGAATAATTCCCTCTCAAAAAACACCATTTCAGATAAGGTTTTCTCACCTCCTGATTTTCTAGGACGGGAACATGACCATGCCAATAGCGCGCGGGCACTGTCTTCGCAATGAGAGGGGGTGATCGTAAGCGCTCCCCATAAGAGTCTCCATGGAGGGTCCTCATGCTACATAGGGGTTCAAGCGAGATACAGACCATCACACCATGCCCCTTGTGACCTTGTTTTTCTTTGGGGTCTCTTGATGTTTGGTGAGCTCTGTTGACTTTGAGACAAATTGATATGCAGGCACGTTGTCTTTTCTGAGTTTTGTATTTTTGGATACTCCCAGTTTTCACTGTGACGGAAATAGAGGTGTCGGCAGACTTTTGTTTTTTTGTTGTTTTTTTTTGCTTCCATAAAATAAATTTGGAGACGGGGGAGAGAACGAGCGAACAAAGAAGCTGGCAGAATTGTGCGAAAAAACAACATAGAATTGTCCTACTTTGCTTGATGTGGGAGCAGCTCCAAAAATATTGGGACTCACTACTGACAAAGAATGGCAAGCTGGTCCTTTTATTTGTCCCAATGGATACGTCCATGACTGGACCTCCCTATAGAATGAGCAGTGTGAAATCACATTCGCATTTCTGCCTACCTTTAAATTTTACGTCCGCCCCAACACCCGGCTCCTGTATTTCCCGGGGGGTGAACGCGAGCCCTTGTGCCTGCCCCGTGACCACGCCTCCCGCCGACGTCCGTGCTTCTTAGACAGCGCAGGAACAGTTGCGGAATATTCTCCTGTCTCTTTCATACCAAAACCAGAACCTCCCCTGCAGCATATTGACTACGTATCATGATTGAGGGGGGAGGGGGCACGAGTCCGGTACATGTAAACCACACAACTCATTTGGAAGTATAGCGATTCTGTGCACTGTGCAGGAGATTTCGCCCTCACCTAACTGATGGCGCGGGCTGACCATTGTCAGTTGGTGGGATGGTGAGGGGCGCACGTGGTGGGTGCTTCCAAGGCCTAAGTTTTGTTGCCCGGGCCAATGGAAGCGCTGTCTGATCCCTCTCACGCTCAAAAGAGGGTGAGGGGCGCACGTGGTGGTTGCTTCCAAGGCCTACGTTTTGTTGCCTGGGCCAGTGGAAGCGCTGTCTGATCCCTCTCACGCTCAAAAGGCATTATGGCCAACTCAGCTTCGTCCGTGCGCATCCGGCTAACGTCTTAGTATGAACGTCCATGCCCGTCGCGGTTATCTGCTGCTCACTCCGCCTGGTGGCAGTTGTTCATGATGGTTTGTATCGATTCGCTCACCAGATGTCTCTGCCCACCGGAGGCAGTTCCCCGCCGAAACGTATCTCCACCTGCTGCACCTTCTTTGGACTCTGATTTGGGGAATCGATGGCGATGCAGTCGCATGATCAGCCGCTGCTCTCGGCAATCGACATTGCTCAGACGTAATCGGCGAGCTCTGGGCAGTTGAGCAGAGCGATAGAACCGAGGCAACGAGCAAATCATTCGAGCAATCAGTTCATGAGCAAGTTTTTTGTGCATCAACTTTTATGACGGACATCAACATTCTTGGATTCGCACGAACGTATGCCCTGTGCGCTGTTTTCGCATGTTGTTTTTCAACCCTATTACGTCCATTTACCACTGAGGATAAGTCAACTTGTGATTTCTCGGACAAGGCAAAACACCAAAACGAGTGGAATAAGTATGCCTATTCTTGTCTCTCGTCGTGGACAGGGTTATATTGCCACCTGGTAGGTGTACCGAAGTGTATGACACAGCTTTGCGTTTGGACAACACAAATTAAATCACATGACTGGTTTACTGATCTCTCGCTCCTGCCCGAACACTCCACTCGCTGGTTTTGGTTCTAAAGCAAATGCTTTTAGGTCAGTGCATGCGGTGCATAAACAGTGCATGCAACAACATCAACTTACAGCCAGTGTCTACATGTTGCCGCGACCTGGACGTTATATTTCTAGATTTACACATGATTTGGGTATACGGCCATTCCCCTGAGGCCCTCCCATTCTTCCCGCGGGCGGCTCCCGCGGGGGTTTTGGTGTGGGAGAGAGGATAGCCTCCGTTACGAGTAATCACCTTGTTAAGTTTTCGTCCGTTAGGCGTCGAGTCGTGATCACACGCTTTGTTTTCGCATCAGTTATCTATTTCTTTTCTTGGGGACTGCTGAACATCGAATTTAGGTGCCTTGGAGTCATGGATAACGGCAGTGCATGACAGATGTTCCTTTGTTGCATTACGGCCTCCAACTTTTCGTGGTCTTGATGTCGCAGTTTTCCAGCATAGAGCATTGTGTGACCTGATCGTTTATTTGCATCACTTATTTTCATTAAATATTGGCTTAAAGGGAGTATTCCACACTTGTGCGAGGGTTTGAGCTAAAATTGGCAATTCGGATATCATCAGGTGCAGTTCACAGCCCTGTCCCTCGGAAAACCCAGAACCCTCTAATTTCTGAGCCATGGGGGGGCCAACCTCTGAGCTAGGCCCGCGCGGAGGCGCTCTGCGGGGTATGTGCTGAGCGCCCGGTAGTGGCTCCCCTCCAGGGGACCTCGCGACCCGCTCGTAGTTGACACATGCTGCCTGCCCCGGGCACGCGGGGCGGCGTGAGGATACAGGATGAAGCAGGAAAGAGAGTCAGATGCAAAGCACGTTTCACGCTTCATATAAGAAGATGGACGTGGTTTCTTTACTTACTTGTTACTACAAAAATCAGACTTGCAACCAAACGGCTTAAGAATTACGCAATAACAGAGTATGTCAATACAAGTAAACATCTTAAACTCATGGATAGATATGCAAGAGCACCACGAGAAATGGCCAAAACACAAGCACATGACAATGTTTGGTTCAGCAAATACCTCCAGCCCGCGCTACCGTCTCTTGCCCAGTTTGAAGTGCTACAAGTAAGGTGATAATTTTCAACGGCTAGTTTGGCAGTACTCCAACGTCATACAGACTCTCGTGACGCAATCAAACAATGACGTATTGATTAGTTCATCCCATCTGATTCTTGCTCCAATATGTTCGTATGTGGAACATTCCTTTTCATATTTCTTCTTACGGTGATGCGGAATTGCTCCTCCTTGGCCTTCTTATCCCGATCCGCTTCTGGAGCTGTCCCTGATACCTTCCGCCAATCCAGTGGCGAAACACGTGGGGCCTAAGAATGATTGGGCATCGGTGTCATTGGAACCTTTACTAAAACAATGTCAGTATAATGGATGCGTCTTGCCACTTTCAGCAAGTGAGGAGTGTCCCGTCGTCTGTCACAGCCGATCTCTGTGGTCTCCGCTTCTAACCTAACCTCGAGACATGACAACACACAGGCGATAGCGTTACGGCAAGGTTAGCCAAAAAAACGACTGCAGAAGTGCCTGTATTGCCTGTACAGCCTTTAACGCGTCAGCACTTCACAGATGCATTTTGGGAATCACATTTATTTCCAACTTCAGAGAAGAAAAATCTAGAAAATATGTCAATAAATTCATTCGTTATTCCAATTCCTTACCTTAATTCGAGTCATTACTACTGATCCTGAGGCAGCAGGCCTCCGCTTCAGCCATCCAGAATAATAATAGATCTATTTTCAAGACACAGGAACACAGGTGATTCAGGACATAGAAGTATGCGCACGGAAAGCACTTTTTTCGTCACATTTGCAAAAAAGTTACTGCATGCTCGCTTGTTGCATAAACAACATAAGTTTTGGCCGCTGTTCGCCTTTCTGCTGTCGCACAACTTTGCAGTTACGCTTTTAGCGCGGCGCTATTGGAGGTTGGTACGCTCTTATGTGAGCATTACGTCAGTCCATACGCTGCACCATTTCAGCACTGCAGATCGAAGCAACATTTCAAAAGTGGGAATAGTCCCACTGACCTGCAATCATCGAAGACTAAAAGTTTTCTTTTTCTCTGGCGGCATAACGGGATGTTCCTCCGTCTGAGAAGCTGAGCTCAGAATACTTTATTTCGGGCCAAACGCAGAGTACCGCTGTTTCTATTTCTGCATCGCTGGTGGTATGATATCCATCACTGCAGCTCAGTTGGTACAGAACCAAACGCTCCGGCAAGTGGAATATATGTGAGTTCACGACCTGGAGCCCAGGCTGACGTGGCTCATCTGTGACGGCCAGTTGGCATCTGGCCAAGGGTGACCTGGAACCCAGGCTGATGTGGCTCATCTGTGACGGCCAGTTGGCATCTGGCCAAGGGTGGCGCTGATGCGATGCGGTGGTAACGTCATGACATTGCAAGACACGTTGAGGTCTGACAACCAACAAGTTGCGTTTAAATGAAATTCGTCTATTGAGATCGTAGGTGAGATCCTTCTAAACAAGTTAAGTTGATTGTGATCACGTTCAGCTTTGTCCAGCTCGACGATCCCTGTAAAAAAGTCGGCAATGTTTCTTTATGGAATTCCTTCAAATTGAGTGGTGCTCCTTGGTACTTGGTTGGTTCAGGTCGTTTGCATGAGAGCTATCAGTAACAGCGCACACCTAGCTGTTGGTCAGAGTACATGGATGCATTTTTGCTATCGTATATTTGAGAATAAATTGATAGTAAATTATGATACATTGTTAGATAGAACACCATGTTCAACGAGTAACATGCATCATTGTTGAACGGTAAGCCCTTTATGTAACCATACCATACACCTTTTCGGTTTCCGGCTTTGTGTCATCAAACACAGACATGCGTATAAGCATTGTGTTACATGGCATCAACACTTGTTCACTACCTATCATTAAATTAGATATCTTATCGTAAGCTGCATGTCGTGCAGATAACTGTATAAAATATAATGGGTGCAAATATTACATCAGCAATTTGTTGATACAATTGACCGCATGCTCTAGTTTTTATTTTAAAAAATGTTTTCAATGCATGCAGTGACAGATGAAACGTTCCAAACATTTTCTTAGCGTAGATAACTCACCATTTAATAAAGGAAACTAACCGTGGCATTGCAGATTTTGGGTTGAATTACCACACAGAATATGGAGATACCTACCCACAAACACACGCCGTGCACCGCCGGACGCTATGCTCCACATCAGTACGGGCTAGAAAAATAGGGTTACCGCTGCATCCGTCCGTTCTTAGCGATAAATGTGTTCACAGATATAAATTTTAGACTAGAACCACAGAAAAATATACATCTTGCAGCAGCGAATGGCTACGTCTACTTTCAGCTTAGTGCTGCGCTCCTGTCCGTGATGGCAGCAAATCATGCACCTGCTGTGAAAGAGTCAGTAGAATAACAGTACCCGAGCATGGACACATGGCAACAGTAGCACGATGACACATTTGATAATCCTCGACATTGGGCAGAACAAGAGGTATTACTTTAACATTAACTAACAACAAATGATCAGCTACACGGTTCACTGATGCACTGGAAGAATCTGTACGGTCTTAAGCACCCTATTTCATTATTTAAAGCATTCAATCCTACCACCACTGTTTTTACCAGGGGCATATCACTACGGTGAAGTGCAAGCTGCGAGTAATTCGAGGACATCAGTGTTGTCACCAAAAAGACGTTGCCAGTTGTTTTCTAACCGGCAAGAGATAAGTACAAGATGCCTGGTCCCATATCAGATATAAAATCAGGTTCGGTGCTCTTTGAAAAAAACAAAAAATTGCGGTCTCTTTACGATACCAAAAGGCATTACCCGTCACAATGCCAACGTCCTAAACTGTGCCAGCCTTAAACTAAACTAGCAAATTTTCCTTGATTTCGGAAGGACGTGAATGGGCATTGACCCTCGCCCTTACTCGCCGTTTTTCAAAATGCGGACTGATAAGGGGTTGATGCGACTCCCCTGGCGTTTTGAAAACAATGCGTATAGAGCTCAGCAGACAAGAATTGTTAGGTCAATAATTGACCCCATATGACAAGTCAAAGATCCAATTTTCCAGAAAATCTTACCTTTTCAAATTAACATAATACATCCGAGACCACGCCTCTTGGTAACATGAAACCTATAGAGGCATGCGCCTTTTTCAATTTTGAGTACAAAGGGTTAATTGCCTGTTATGTGGCGGAGATCCCACTGATACCATCGCCCGCATCGAACTGCGGAGTAATCTATTTAGCCGTGGTGTTGGTGGCCATGCTGGCGAACCAGTTCTTTGAATTTCAGCGGCAGATGCGACGCCTCGTAGTCGGGGATGTTGTCCAAGCCCATGCTGGTCCAGTAGAGTTGTGGTGGCCCCTCCCGGAAGCAGTTGGGCATGTTCAGCGCGCCATCTTCCGACCAGTACATCAGGTAGAAGTTGCACATCTCGTCCCTGCCCGTGTTGCTGAAAAGATGCTTGCGTGACTGGCCATGCCGTACAAGCAGGGTGCGGTGAGCAGCGCACGGTGAGTGAGACACTTACCTGCACACAGGCGGAGGAAGAATAGATCTTGGGACGTGCCTGGCGGCCCCAGCGTCAGCGGCGGCGCCGTGAACCTTTTGAAGGCTGAGCGGACCGGTTTTCATAGGCCTCATGCGTACAGGCAGTCCGCTCTCGCTAATGGCCTCTCAACATACTAGCCTTTGCTGCCCCGGGCCCTTCCTGTTTTGCCATTTATTTGCCAAACAATAGGACATCACTGTGTTATGCTAAGCGCGTGCAGAATTAAGTGGAAGGACTACACACATGCACATGGGTGTAACAGCTCGAAGGCTTGGGAAACATGCCTCCCACCTCCAATTTCCACAAAACGTGTTTTTGCATCATCCAGCCTCAGACTGTAGAGAACACGTTTTTCATGTTTTTTTCATGCCAAGTTTCAGGCCAGGTTTCCTGCCAGATTTCAGCTTGTCCCCTTCAGTCCTGGGTTATTCACCCGATCTCAGAGACGTGGTTACACCCATGCACAGGGGCGGCGCAGCTGGTGGGAGAAGCAAGAATGTGTCTTTTCCCCCTCCCCCACAAAAACTGAGAGGCCCCTTTTCCCAAGCTAAGGGCATTGTAACTGCCCATAGAAAACCAAAATACGGATCAAGGGGGCTTCCATGACTGGGCAAGAGATAGCGAATCGGGTGCAGAAGACCACTCGCTTTATCAAGAGTCCCGTTTTCTGGATCATGACGCCACATTTATGAGTAGGGTAGCTGATGCTCGAGATCAGAACACCCAGTGCCATGTTAAGGAGATCCTTTGCTGGCTCGGGGGTCCTCGTTATAAGCTATGAGGCCGAGAGCCTTCTGTTGTGTAGATACCAGCTTGCCCGCGTGAGTGAGCCGTTCGCTGTACAGTGCTGCGGCATCCTCCCGTCCGTGACATGGACCCGCTGTGCGTCCTCTCGTCCGTGACATGGACCCGCTGTGGGCCCTCTCGTCCGTGATATGGACCCTCTGTGCGTCCTCTCGTCCATGGCACGCGCCGCTGCGCGTCCTCTCGCCCGTGATATGGGTCTTATCTTCAGTGGCATGCGCCGCTGTGCGTCCTCTAGTCCGGAACATGGGCCCGCTGTCGTATCGCTGCTCCCAGCCACCTAAGAGCATTACGTTTTTAGGACCTCCTCTGGTTCATTACACGGATCTCGTGCAGCATGATTACCCCCGACCGTGCACATTCTTTTATAACTGTGGTTTTCTATCTGCCCTCGGCCATTACGCCGTTACGTCGCTGTTCGTGGCCGCGCCTGCTGCCCGACCTGTACACCATACCTAACATGGCCTTCGAAGGGCGTCTGTACACCATACCTAACATTGCTTTCGAAGGGTCTCCTTAAAGTTTAGGTTGGGCACGAAGATGTGTTCTTCCGCGCTGTCCGACGACCTTGCACACCCAGCGGCGCTGTCCCCGCTGCGCGTGCAAATATACCCGATGCTGTAAACCGCAGAGTTAGTGCGTCCGGGATAGAAAGAACGCAGATTTTAACCTGCTTCTACTTGGTATCTAAGTGCACAGAGTTGTATTGGTCCATCTTTCTACAAATTGTTAGACGGGTTGCGTGCAAGGTTTTGCCGAGTAGGGATGCAGACGTGGTTCTAGATGCCCGTGAGTGTTGCCAAATTCGGCATGATGAATGCAGAGCTCTTTTTCTGGCAATAGTCCACATTTGTGCTCCCAGGACTTACTTAAAGCGACGTTTTCAAAAAGCATTGCCTATATGGAAAAGACCCATATACTTGGCTAGCGAACTATGGCTCATTGCAGTAACCAGGTAATTTTGTAACTCGTTGTGGGAAAATTGTCTTTGTTTCAGGACTTTACAACCTTGCAGCACTCAACCATACTTATGTTGAGAATATGCTCATAACAGATGAAAAGCACCCCGCTGGAGAAGAGAAGAACAACGCAACACCTTGGTTCTAGAGTGTTATTAAGTGCGTTTGCGAAGAACATTATGCATATGAATGCGACATGACTGATAACATTATCCCCCGTAAAACATTCAGAAGAATGGAGAGACGGACAGATTGATTTTTCAGCTACATGCCTTTATCGAAACACAGGCGTCCAAGTATATCTGACAACCCCGTCGTGACGCCACAGCGGGGATCCTCGGCAAGTCCAGCATTGTAAGCCCATAGGAAAATAACTTTTCAGAGGCAGTCTTTAGGCTGAATGGGGAGATAATGACGGCGGAAAAGCGCTTAGTTTCAGGAAAAACATGTGTTTTCTCGTAAGCCAGGTGTGCTTTCAGAGTTCAGTGCCCTGGCTTTGAAATGCAAGTTTCTTTCCACGGGCGCTCCCACGCAAACTTAAGTGGCGCTGCTGGTACCAAGACTTAATTTATGTATGGCGCTAGTGCTGCTCATGGGCTTATAATACCCATGCAATGTTCTTGCCTCCTAAAGGACTCACCGTGTTTGAATGTAATCCGTCGTTTCTGGGTTTGAAGTACATTAACATCCCTCATGTAAGTGCCTTGTTTCTTGTTTGATCACCAAGCCGTATCATCGACCCAGTTGTCTGCCATTCTACTCTAAATATCATACAACCTTCTGTTACTGTATTGTTCACCTGTGTGTGGGTATCTGATAAGCTTGACGTTGAATTTAAAGTTTGACAAGTTTTTTGTCTTGACCGACACTTTAAATCTCCCATATTTCCCGGATATTGAATATGTGACATCGCAGATAGTTAAGCAGGAGTGTTCACTCAAAAAACTACCTCGGTGCTTCTTTTAATCTACTTAAAAGAGGAAATGTTTTGCATTTGAAGATATTTAAACAAGCGGCAGATATGATGAAACAGGCTAACTTATCATTATTGGTTTACTTTTTAAGAAGAGAAGACTGTTTTTAGACAGTGCAATTCTCTGTTTATTAAATATGTTCCTCAATGCGTTATGATTTAATTATGTCACCGTGCCTTGCACAACATTGATTGATAGCCAATTGACGGCCGTTATATCTGGAATTCGCGCTCGCGAACGTCAGATGTGAACCCGTGGACAATTATATTTTTATTGGTCTTGATCGCCACATGGCTTATGGAATGGCAGAATTTGAATGACGTTTTATGACGTCATGAGTGCCGAGGTGACTCTGAGATGCTCTCTCCGATATACCTTTCGCCATTGCCGCAGGCATGCTGCTCAGAAACTAGACCGGTTTAGCTTTTAAGAACGGCAGGATTGTGAACAACACAGAAAGATCGTCAAGATGGCTATTTCGGTTGAAAGCCTCATACAGGTGTGGAACACCTCCTTTAAGACAATGGTCGTGAGCACTGATTCGTGTCATACGATTTCACGTTTCTTGGCAACTTACAATAACATTTTGATATGAACTCCCTTTACTCTGTGCAGATGTGGAAGGGTGTGGCGAGGCCACAAAAATGTTATTTTGCCTTGTTTGGCCAACATGACAAGCTAGCTTTTATAGAAAAATGAAATAATATAGGTTGTCGAGATATGGCAGGGAATACCGCCATACTTGTTCTGTATTCGAAAAACATGCGTCGAAAACATAATCATGCAATTCTGACATACTGACTGGTAATAATCTGACGGCTTCTGATCACATTTCACGCAGACGCCACCACTCCTTTAGTTTGATCACAGCGATAACGTCCATAACGCATCGAGATTAGGCGAGCAGGTTAGTGGAAGATTAACGTGCGCTCGGGTAGGGGTCAAATCAAACCCCCGAAGGTTTTTCCAGAATTGTTTCCAAACGGCGCGGCGTAGCCGCTCCGAATTTTGCATAGCTGTAGATAATTGAATAGCGGATCGTCTGACATCACAAATTGAGGTGTACCTTGTAAGGCCGCTGATCGATAGCGGATCAAAGTCAGGCCACGGTTTCAGCGAAGGCAATTTCTAGGGAATCGTTTAATGTGATCCAACAACGGAGTGTTAGACGAAGCCATACATCTCTGAGATGCTTTCTTAGGCAACACAGCAATTGAATGAGCATATTACGTTGACCTAAGGTCAGGTATGCAGGTCAGACCAAGGTTAAAACCAACCTGTATTTTCACTTTAGGGCCTGCTGTATGGGGTAGTTTCTGGTGCTCATTTCAAATTTATTGATAGCAAGAAACGCATTATACATCTTCCATGAACTTCTTAGAGGTCAGAATAGGTCATTGACCTAAAATGACCCAGATCAACATTTTGCTTTTAGAAACATACTGCCTAGCCTATTATTTGTCGCTTATTCTAATGCAAAACTCAAAGCAGTCTTGTATGATTTTGGTCACCAAGACCTTTAAGAGGTCAAACTAGGTCACTGACCTTAAATGAGCATGTGACCCTTTCTTAGGTCACATCTAGGCTCTGGGGGCACTTCGGAGACCAACCTGGGATTTGACTTTTTTGACCTTATTTGGCCCTAAGCTCATGACTTACGAACCTCAAACTTTGACCTAAGGGAGTTCATGTACATGTCAACACACTCTGTGAATTTGGTGTCTCTGGCTATCTTAGTTCTCGAGATCTCAGGGTGTAGCCTCAAAGATGACACATTTGCCCGCATGTGAGAGGTATGTCAGACGCAGGAAAATTACAACGCCGAGAAAGCTAATGATTTCGACGCATATGCTAATACTTTCGGTGCATGTGTGTGTAATTCGGTGCATGTGTGTGTAATTCGGTGCATGTGTGTGTAATTCGGTGCATGTGCTAAAAATTTAGATGCATATTCTAATAATTTCGATGCATATTCTAATAATTTCGATGCATGTATGTATCATGAAGCGGATGTAATGCACGTATGAACTAATGACCTACGATACAGACATGCAACACGATACCAGAGAATGACATATTTACCAAATACCGGAGGCGGAGAAGACAGCAATAGTACCAAACGTGTCGATAGCAGCGGACGAGCCAGACGTCATGCTATTGGCAT